AGAATACTGAAAGCCAACCAGGATTTAGGGTAGGGTCAGAGAGAAACAATGAAGCATAGGGGAAAAAGAAAGCTACCAGCATTCCCAAGGCACAGCATAGCAGAAAAGAGATAATCGGGTCGTCAAGTCCAAATGTAAATGCAAAACTTCCTACTGTGTGTTTAACACACCTGGCTCTTCAGTGGAGCACATGAGGTGGAAGGGAGCTGTTAACAACCTGTGCTCACACAGCACGGTTGCCTGTGCTGGTCAGGGCACACTGCATGGTTCCCCAAATCAAACTAAGCTTGCAGTTCCTGCTGCATTTAGTGGCTATATACCCACCTTCCTAGGATTAAGGAAAGATGACTTGAAATCGCTTGCTCACACTACCAAATCACCTCCAGTAGATCGTTTCCAATGTCAGTTTTCAACAATTCCTCCCATGCATGCTACTCCTGGGGGCTACTGCCCCTCCCCTGAGGACTGGCCTTGTGCCTTGCTTTGACTAATAGAATGTGGCAAATGTTCCAGGAATGCAGGCATTAAGAGGTCTTATAGTTTATATTTTCATCCTGTTGGAACCCAGCTGCCCTATATATAACTTTGGTTAAATTACTGAATTAAGAGAGTCCCCTTGGGGAGCATGAGACCCGGCCAGCCTTCAGACAGTCCAGCCCCTATGTGCAGCTGCGCGAGTGGTTCCAGCCAGCACTTGGTGCAAAAGGACAGTGCAGCCAACCTGCGGAATTGTAGGAAACAATGAAGAGTATGATTTGTAGTGGTTTGTTACGTGGCTAGGTAACTGAAACAGAAACTACTATATAAAAACCTAAAGTCATATGGGAGACCACAGCAGGTGGATCACAAGGTCAGGAGGTCAAGACCAGCCCGGTCAACATGGTGAAACCCCATCTCTACTAAAAATACAAAAACTCTCCAGGTGTGGTGGGAAGTTCCTGCAATCCCAGCTACTCAGGAGGCTGAGGCAGGAGAATCACTTGAACCCCGGAGATGGAGGTTGCAGTGAGCCAAGATCACACCATTGCACTCCAGCCTCGGTGACAGAGCGAAACTCCATCTCAAAAAAATAAATAAGTAAACAAATGAAGCCATGTGGGATTGTGTCATGGCAGAGGTTGGCCTCTGCTCCTATTATTCACGGCAGGAAGAACAGTGAGGAAATTGCTTTTGAAGTCTTGAGAAAGGGCTGTCTGTATTATGTAACAGCAGAGTGCTTGCAATAGTACCACCTGCTATAAAGTAGAACATAGAAAATATAACTAATGGACTTGTGAAGCCAGCTGAAATTCTTCAGGCAGATTACAAGTTTTTGCAGTATATAATAAAGGTTACAAAGAATGAGATAAAGTAAAGAAGGAACTGTTTAGTTTTCCTGCAGAATTTAGATAAAATGTACGGAATAAAGGTTGGTGTCTCTACTCACCATAACATTCTTGAAGTAAGAAATGACTTCAGGTGGTGGGTGTCTATGGACCTTCTTAGCCAAACAAAAGGGCTCTGTACTGCATATAATTTTCTGTATATTATGACATTTTGACATTTTAAAAAACCTTTCTGGGCTGAGAAGTGTGGGAGGTGGAAGAAGAGAACTTGATTAACAGACACAAACATACAGTTTGGTAGGAGAAATAAGACCTAGCACTAGATAGATCAGTAGGTGAATACAGTTTACAATAATCTACTGTCTATTTCAAAATAAGTAGAAGGGGGCTGGGCACAGTGGCTCATGTCTGTAATTCCAGCACTTTGGGAGGCCAAGGCAGGTGGATCACTTGAGGTCAGGAGTTCGAGACCAGCCTGGCCAACAAGGTGACACCTCATCTCTACTAAAAACACGAAAACTTATTTGAGCTTCGTGGCATGGACCCATAATCCCAGCTACTTGAGAGGCTGAGGCAGGAGAATCACTTGAACCCAGGAGACAGAGGTTGCAGTGAGCCGAGATTGCACCACTACACTCCAACCTGGGTATCGAAGCAAGACTCTGTCTCCAAAAATAAAAATAAAAAAGAAGGGAAGAATTTGAATGGTTCTAGCCTAAAGAAAAGACAAATGTTTAAGGTGATCGATTCCCAAAGTACACTGATTGGATCTTTACAATCTATAATAATGAATTATTACATGTACTCCAAAATGATGTATATCTATTATGCATCAATTAAAAATGCACACACGCGCACACACACGCGCTACCACACACCCCCCCACCCACACACCTTTCTGGCTGGGAAGAGAGACCGCCCCTCTGAGGGTTAGCCAATGCTTAGAGATAAAAATGCCTCAGCCAGGCATTCACATGCAAGCTAGCCAGTCTAGAGCCATGCCTGCTCGGGCTCACACGCTCCAGGAGGCAATCTTCTACTCTCCATTTGCGCCCTTTGAACCAAAGTATCTCTAGTTACCTTACCCCTGTCTTAGCACTTTACATTCAAAGTCTGTGTTGGGGGGCATATAACTATTCTTTTTAGTTCACATGTTTCTAAATCAAGAGAAGTCCACGTGAGGGGCCTCATTCAGATCCAGACCTGATGCAAATAAAGAAATTCTGGATTTCGAGCTGAGAGACTGAAGGATGTGGCATCTCAAAATATGTCAGACTGCTATACTGATGACAATTTCAAGTGGAAAACACTGGGACAATTGTAGTTCAGTAAAGGATAGCTGATCTGTCTCTTCCTGTATGCAGCAAACCATAAAGATTCTTCTGAGAAGCACATCTTCCCTGTACCAGGGCGAGAAAATAGCCCTTATCACCAGAGACTGAAAACTGAGGGCCACTGTGGACCCAGATGGATATACTTAATGAAGTAACCCTATCTCCCACTAGTTTTATACCTTCTCTGTATCTCCTAGTGCCTCCCTTAGGAATTTGCTGCCCCCACACAGATCCCCTTTGTCTTGTTATTTCTTCTCAAATTTATTGTTCTTCATCTAAAAAGTATAAAAACATCTTACTTAGGCCACTTCTTTGGACTTCACTCCCGTGAAGATCCACATGTACGAGTAAAACTAATAAAATTTACTCCTGTCAATCTGCCTGGTATCAATTTGATTTGTAGATCCAGCCAAAGAGTGGACGGGGTATTGGAGGCGATCTCTGGCTTCCCTCCAGAGCCCTTGATGTAGTAGAATTCACATTTTGAGGAATGAGGTGAATGTGTTTTACATGCAGAAGAGATAGGAATGGCTACAGCCACAGAGTGGGCTGTGGTATGTTATTTTCACAGATGGCCACAGTCATCCTCATTCCTGCACTTGGATGTTACTCCTCCCATCCCGGACTTGAGATGTGCTTGTACCATTAGAATAGATTGGGAGCAACATTCTAGGATTCCAGAGCCCTCTGCCCGCTGAGGATCCAACCACCATGTAAAGAGGTGGTTGGATTGTTTCCAACCACCACGTTCAGGATTCCACATTCAGGACTGTTTGCTGAATGATGGGAGAACACGCAGACAGACTGCAGCCAACCCAGATGTTCCAATCACTCCAGCTGAGATATCAGACACGTGAGGAAAGCCGTCCAGGATTCTCCAACCCTAGCTAAGCCACCCAGCCAACACCATATGGATCAGAGATGAGTCCTCTCTGCCAAACTCTGCCCAGAATCATGAATAAATAAATACTGGTTTTAAACCACTATATTTTAGGAGATACTATGCAGTGATAAATCCTGAAACACTTATTTAAACTTCAGCAGAGAGGGAAAAGTATAGAATATAGTTAGCGAATTGATTCCATTCTTCACTAGTTATGGCCTTTGTGTTTTTTGTTTGCTTTTATTTTCCAGCAACTTTTGACTTTAACATAGTATAACTGAATAGATTCAATAGCTTTCAAAGTACCAGTGAGATCATGATTATAAGCTTAATGCCAGCACATTCTGTATAAAAGGAGACAAAACTTATTTTACCCTTGACTTACATATGACATGTAAGTGTAGGCCAGTGGCTATACATTTAGATAGGGTAGCCTAATGTAAACTATCACGGTTGTACCAATATAAAGAAAAACATACTAAAATCATCAGCACCATTTTCTTTTTTCTTTTTTCTTTTTTTTTATTGAGATGGAGTTTCACTCTTATTACCCAGGCTGGAGTGCAATGGCGCGATCTCGGCTTACTGCAACCTCCGCCTCCTGGGTTCAGGCAATTCTCCTGCCTCAGCCTCCTGAGTAGCTGGGATTCCAGGCATGCGCCACCATGCCCAGATGATTTTTTGTATTTTTAGTAGAGACGGGGTTTCACCATGTTGACCAGGATGGTCTTGATCTCTTGACCTCGTGATCCACCCACCTCGGCCTCCCAAAGTGCTGGGATTACAGGCGTGAGCCACCGCGCCCGGCCCATCAGCACCATTTTCTTACACCCAGAACTTTTATTCAGAAATTATTTAGATCATTAAGTCAGTTTTCTAGAGGTAGTTCTCCTAAGCCTTATTATTATTATTATTATTATTTTTTAAAAGAAATAAGCTTATTTCTTTTTTCCATTCACCCAAATAGGACAGTTGAGAAAAAATAACTATCCTGGGAAATTTCACTCTATTATTAAAACATTTGGCTGTGGGTGAATTATAACTTGAAAGGTAGATTATAAAACAAACTATACAAACGAATAAATGCCTCAGCAAGCAGTTACAGAATTAGAACTGTAAACAAGCAGGTTATGCAAAGCAGAATTCTGGACCATGCCGTTGACAGAGATTATCATGTAAATAGCAGCCCCGAAGTTGTACGACACAGCCATTCTGAAGAGCCGACTGTAGGCAAAGATGAAACACGATTTTGTCCCTGCAAACCTGGCATTCTAGTAGGCGCTGAGTGACATATGGTTAACAACAGCACAGCCACATAAATGCATTGATGTACATGTACTTGGGGTGTGGGTAGACTAAAAGAAATGAGCTTGAGTTTGAGGAGTGGAGGACCAGACCAGCAAAGAGTGTCAAATGCACATAAGTAAAATTATCACACACACAGAAGATGCAGCTTACCTGACAGGCTGATGGATGAGTGTGGTTGAGATCCCAATGGGAAGACACTATGTCAACAGACTTTTTGGCCATGTTGAGTAAATTCATCCAGCCTTGGAAAAGTGATAAGTGAAATGGTGCATTTTCTGAATAGTTAAGGCCTTCAGGAATATTTTCCACCAGGGCAATTCTTAGAAAAGATTTTGAAAAACAAACAAACAAAATCTAGTCAAATTTGAAGCCACAGATCTTTACACATGCATACAGCAGACATCTAAAAATTACTCTTTACTCATTCTGAATGTATTCTCTTCTCATAATTTGCATTTTTTCCCCACAAAAGTCCTCTTACATTTAACCCCCACTAATCTATTGTGTTTTGAGAGTTTATGGCCTATTTTTTCATAGTGAGCACTGAATTTATATTTCAGAAAATCACGGAGTATGTCTCTAATGTTCAGTTTCAATCTTGCCCTGAAAAAAAATTGTGAGCTTCCTACAGAAGCATCCTCATCTAGTAATATATTCCTTTATTTTTTTTTCCTGGAAGCAATTCAGTTCCTATATAAGATACTACTCTGTGAGCTATTTGAGACTGTAAATTGAGTTTTACATATCTCCAGTTTCTAACACAATGCAGGGCATATGTTAGAACTCAATAAATGCAATTATTGCCGAGTGTCCACGGATGCTACCTAGTCTATGGTGTAAAGTGACACCGAGAAGAAAATCATAACACCTGCTTGTTGCAGGGCTTTATTAAAATCAGAGACAAGAAAAGGGTAAAATTATAGTATAATCAAGTCCTAAATAAGCTGCAATCAGCAATATTCTGTTTGTTTTTCTCTTTTTGTTATATTGGCCATATATCCATTGTGTTGCCGTACCTTTCCTTGGCTGCATTTTTTTTCACTTCTGAGTTAGGTGACAGATAACTTCTGACCAAAGGAATGGACTATTTTTTTCCAGCTTTATGAAGCTTGATTTATTCATGTATATTCTCCTGCAATTCTTTTTTTTTGAGATAGGGTCTTGCTCTGTCACCCAGGCTGGAGTACAATGGTGCCATCTTGGCTCACTGCAACCTCCACCTCCTGAGTTCAAGCAGTTCTCCTGATTCAGCCTCCCAAGTAGTTAGGATTACAGGCACCCACCACCACGCCTAGCTAACTTCTTTTTGTATTTTTCAAAGAGACGGGATTTCACCATGTTGGACAGGCTGGTCTACGGCTTCTGACCTCTCGTGATTTGCCCTCCTTGGCCTCCCAAAGTGCTGACAATACAGGTGTGAGCCACTGTACCTGGCCTCCTGTAATCCTGATGGAGAAAACTTCAAGCCCTTATAAAAATATCCAGAAAACAAATTTGTTTTGTTCATAGTCATATGCCCAGAGCCAGAGACATAATTAGGGCTCATGAAATACTTACAGAATAAATTTCTGCCTTCAACTTGGAATATAGCAGTTCTCAATAAAATACTTACATTGTTACCCTTATTGAGACTTACTGTGATTAGCCAGCTTTTGAAACAAAAACAACACTGCTAGCAAAATGTTCTTGTGCGTACCTAGAATATTATAACCAGAATGGGCTCTGGATATGTAGCTCAGATAAATTTGCAATTTTGGGTTTCGATCAGCCACCCAAAAACCTAACATTTGTTGAGCCTTTATAAGCACAGGTAGGCAAATCACTATGTGCAACATAGAAATAACTAACACAAAATCTCCCTAGCCCTCAAAAACTTAAAATTTATTGGAAAAGCCTATCTCATACATACTGACTCAGATAGGAGGTAAACGCTAGTAAATGGTGAAACAAGGGTAAGAAGCTTAATCCAAGGGAAAACACATCACTTAAAGAATCATTGGAACAAGGGCAGGAAAGAAAAATTAATTCTGATTGGGGACATAGAGGAGGAAGCTGGGCTTGAAATCTGAAGGAAGCTGGGCTTGTAATTAGTCTTCAGAGATGCAAATTTTTTATGAGTGAGTTGGAAGAGAAAGATATTCTAGGAGGGAGGGGGGAGTCTGTAAAACATGGCCTGTCTGAACATTTGTGCGTTAGTGAGCCAAGGGGGGCATGAAGCAGGCAAGTTATGGTGGGAGCTCGCGACGGTGGAAAAAGCCGGCAGCATATGTAGGGACCACACTGCAGAGACTGTGAACAAGGGAGAAGAGCTTGGACTTAATTTTGATGCATTTGGAAGCTACCACGTGTGTTTTAGGGGGCTAACTCTGACAGCACGCCGCGCATAGAGAAAGGGGAATTGGAAGATAAGGCAGTAGAGAGTAAAGCTGTTGCAATAGCCTGGAAAAGAAGCTTGCATTTGGTCAATGAGAATGAAAAGCAGCTTTTCTATTTATCTGCTTCAAGACCTCTGAAGGCAATAGACAGAGGTTGAAGCTGGATATCTTAATTCTATCACATTTAAAGCCCAATTATTTTAGAGACCAAATCTTAAAGGTATGAGAGGCAGGTAAAGCAGAAACGATGAGGACTTAGATTTTCTCGCAAAGCCAACAAATGGTCTCTTAACTGGGCTCTATAATCACCTCCAGTGGTCTCCTCATATGGGTTCCTGCCTTTCTCCAAGCCATTTTCCCTACTGAAATCGGACTAATCTTTTAAAAATGTGAATCCGGACACTCTGCCTGCTGCCTAATGACTCCCCGACTGTCTTCAGGAGGATGCCCTTGACTCGCCCCTGTTGACAAGGGTTTACCAATGTGGCTGCCTCTCTGCAGCTTCACTGGATTCAAGTGCCCTTTGTGGATTTCATACCACAGCCATATTGGACATCTTCCTTCCCTGCTATTGCTTTTAGACTTTCGCATTCCACATGCATTGTCCTGATCCCCATTCCTACACTTGTTGTTGGGCCATCTCCCAGTTAACCTTTAAAGTTCCAATCGAAACTTCACTTCTTCTGATTGGCTTCTGTATACCCCCAAACTAGGCTAGCTCTCCTTATTACCAACTTCTGCAGTGACCTGCTCCTCCCTTTTATCCTACACATCACTCTTGAAATTACTTGATCAAGGCCTTCCTTGATAGATTATAGGGTGTGTGAGGTCCAGAATTGTACGCCCAGTGCCTACCATACATACATACTATAGTATAACCTGTTGTGTGTTGTTAAAATCTCAACTGGGAGGAGGGGAGCTGGGATCCATTAAAACTGACAAGGAACATGGGAAAAAACACAAACTGGGGATTGGGAGAGAGTATCAGGGAAGAAAAGATTACAAGAAAGCCAGTCTAAAGCCTAATGTAGGGGAAATGCTTACATTTTTCTGGCAGTTGAGTGTGAAACAGATGAGAGGATTCCGAAGAGACCATTAGAGAAGCTGAGAGAGGTCTAAGAGAAAGCAGCGTTCAGGAAGCCAAGGGGAGACAGAGTTCCAAGTTGGAAAGGTGATTATTTTATCTACCTCAAGACCTTGGAAGGCAATAGACAGAGGTTGAAGCTGGATATCTTAATTCTATTCACATTTAAAGCCCAATTATCTATGTTAATAGAAGCTAGACACAGCAGGGATAAACAATCCCAGATAATCCGTGGTTTCTGCTACAACTGTTGGATGTATTTAAAAAACAATCCAACAAACAAAAACAACCCTCCAAGAAAGCAATGCCAAAACACAGCAGCTGCCAACAAATAAAGAGCTGGCTAGTTTTAATTCTACTTTGATATAAGAGGCATATGAAGAAAGGCTAGAGGAGACACAAGAAGCCCAGATAAACTAACATATGAAGGAGGAATATAGTATAACCGTACAATTATAGATGGTTCCATAACATCCCCTTCTTCGGATTGTCCCCTGTGGGTTCTCTTCCCAATCTCTTTTGGAAATTTTTAGACCAGTGTTCTTAAACTTAGATCTATGGGTAGGATTCAGGGGATCTACGAATTTGAATTTTGCATCTTTATTTTCCCTAGTCTCTACCTAAAATGTAAAATTCCCTCCAGTTATGAACATAGGCAACAAACCACAGGAATATTAATGAGACTTGCAATTTTGTCTCCATTAGAAATTTTCCAGGCCAGGCACAGTGGCTCATGTCTGTAATCCCAGCATTTTGGGAGGCTGAGGTAGGCAGATCACGAGGTCAGAAGTTTGCTGCGAGCCTGGCCAACACAGTGAAACCCTTTCTCTACGAAAAATACAAAAATTATCTGGGTGTGGTGGTGTGCACCTGTAATCCTAGCTACTCAGGTGGCTGAAGCAGGAGAATTGAACCCGGGAGGTGGAGGTTGGTTGCAGTGAGCCAAGTTCGTGCCACTGCACTCCAGCCTGGGCAACAGAATGAGACTCTGTCTCAAAAAAATAAAATAAAATAAAATAAAAAATTCATACTGTGATACAGTTATAGACAACATTTCCAAGTCTTTCTCACTACTCTGAAAGTGCGGTAGTGACCAGATCTTGTTATTTCATGAATATGTACTGCAGAATACACATTAGCATATCATAAATGTATTTGTAAAAATATTCTGGTCACTTTAGCATTTTTGGTTTCCTTTGCAATCCTAAGTACCTTAATTTATACATTTAAAAACACGATTCAGGGAATGATGCATAGGTTTCATCAGACTGTCAAAGGGGTCCACGCCTAAAAAGGGGTAAGATGCCCTCATCAGATGGATAATGAAACATCCATTCCCTTTTCTTCAATTACACACATATTCTAAGAAGACTTTATTTTCCTTAGTTATTGAAGCTTTAGAGGTGGGAAAGCTGATCGAGAGAGGTTTCTTTAAAAGTGAGAATAGGGTCAAAGCCAAATGTGGAAAGCATCTAATCACTTCTGGTTGGTAGAGAAAGTGAAGCAAGAGAAGAAGACAGAGACGAACGTACTGGAGATACTGTAGGAGAAGAGTGTTAATTCCCTGGGAGCCAAGGAAGACCGAGTTTATTACCGTATTCTTCCTTATCCTTGGTTTCACTTTCTACTCTTTCAGTTATAGTCCACCAAGGTCTGAAAATATTACATGCAATAAGTTATTTTGGAGCAAGAGACCATATTCACATAACTTCTATTACAGTATACTGTTACAAGTGTTCTTTTTTATTATTAATATCTTACTGTACCTATATTATATATTAAACTTTATCACAGGTAGATACGAATAGCAAAAAAGTAGAGTACACATAGAGTTCCACAGTATCCAAGAATTCACATATC